GGATATTCTGATGCGCAAATTCGTGCGTTAGGTCGTTGGAAATCGAACGCATTTTTAAAATACTTGCGCGTTTCTACTTTGGCGACTTAAGCTGGGTACGATTCTAACATCCGGGGATAAATCGCGCGGGCGGATTTGTCCTCGGAATGTTGTATTCTCTGGGTCATCTAACACTTACATCTTACTTTGAGCATGATCAGCACGGGCGATCATGCTATTTTCCTAGATGAGGGCTTTTGGGGTCGGGTTTTTGCACAGAGCACAATTTCTCTTGTTCACTCAAGCAATCTACGTCATTGGCAAGGGCGGTGGCGTTTATTCTATATGTAATTATGTATTTGTGTTTTGTGCAATTATCCGATCTTTTGTTATTTGATCCTCGACTAGTATGATTGAACTTGCCTGTTTAGTAGGGACAAACGCGGCATTCAATTTGCTAATCTGCCGACTAGCGCGACAATACTATATCCTTCTCACTGAACATTAAGCTGTGCAATGGCATTAATTCATTTTATTTTATATATTCAGCACGTTGATTTATTACTTCCCGCAGCCTGCATGGGCGGCTGCGTTTACAAATTTTCCTAATCAAAATTGCTTGCTGCCTATGTAGCACATATGGTATTTCAGTTCGGTTTTCGAGGCGAGGATGCAATGGCCAGCAAGGGCGGCTGTTCGCATTGTCACAACCGTTCATTACTGTGATTATTAGTGCACGCATTCAGTCTCCTTGGGGTGGGGTTCATCTCGGTTTCACCTCGATGATTTGGCGATAATTTAGCTCCACCCTTTTCTTGGCTTGAAACATTAGTATTTTCAAACACTTATGTATTAATAAATATTGTTTTATCGACTACAACTGCTGAGAAAGACATCATTCAAAGTTGACCCACCTCCTCCCCAAAACCTCCTCTCATGTTGACTATTCGCTATGAACAACTTAATCAATTAATCATATACTTATATACCTATAGCTTAGTATTATTTTTAAGATTATAATTATACAATTACTTTATTGAATAATATTATGACATAAGGGTTGGCGATAATTTAGCTCCACCCTTTTCTTGGCATGAAACATTAGTATTTTCAAACACATATGTATTATTAAATATTGTTTTATTTACTGAAATGAATCGGCTAGGAGGATGGTTGCTCCTAGCCAAATTATCCAAAACATTACTATTTTCAAACATATACGTATTAATAAATATTGTTTTGTTTACTTAAATAAATCGGCTAGGAGGATTGTTACTCCTAGCCAAATTATCCCAAAAGTGTGCTATCTTTAATGTTTGTCGAATGCCAAGAAAACAAAGCTTCGGAGAATGAATGCGTGCACATGCGGTTGCTACAGGGGCAGTCTGTAATTTATAATACATAAATCACATTACATAAATGGACTAAAGGTACTGAGAAAATTTGGTATAATAGAAGGACTAGTCCAATATATTACCTTGACTAAATGAGAATAGCCATTAACCTTTTCCCCACTTTTCGTATCGATGTTGCCAACAGCCATGTCATTTGCATAGCCATCTGCCAGTTTACTTAGTAAGTTAAGAAAAATATTTTGTATTGCAAATTCTTCAGATAATCTGTCTATTATAGACAATCATTTAATATATATAGCATAAGGATACTTCCCACAGAGATACTGGACATCTTCAGAAAGATCAACCTCACATTTCTCCAGGGGAACAGTTCAGTTGGTATTCAAGTCAAATACTGTTTGGTGTTTGAAAACTGTCTCAACCTTGCTGAAACAATTTTTGTACTCCTCTGATCCTCCTTTATTTACTAATAGTTCCAACAAATCCTTAGTTGAATGTTTTACAAAACGAAATGCTGTGTGTATGCCAACACCTTTCACATTTGTAAGGTAATCGCAACCAGCGGCTATACACATTTGCTGAAACTGTTTTTGGCTTAGATTTAAACCACCCAATATCTCTGCAAGTTGGAAATATTCACCATCTCCACTTAGTTTGAGTTTAGCCATCGCCTAATAAGCAGACAAGTAGACAAGTAAATAAATTAGTTTTCTAACTTCTTACAAACTTATGCATCAGTCATAAAAAACCTCCTGCACCACAGGTCTCTCCCCCCCCCCCCTAGGCATAAAGGGGGAAAACTAGTGAATAGGAGGTGATTGCCCTGGGTATGCCAGAGGTGAGGTGTCAGGAATTTAAATGACTAACTGTGTAGAGAATGTGCCTCTCAGTCCAATGCTGTTCGCAGTCATCCAATAAATACTTGATTGAGTTAAAAAGTATAATTTCGCAGGTTCCTTCTTACAAACCTTCTTACATCCATAAACCAACAGGTCTGAATCCTCTGTAATCCCGAAATCTGCATGGCCATTTAAAGGCATGTGAGCAATTTGTGCATCAGTTTCATAAGGTGAAACAACATACTTCACATTGTGTGCTAAACAAATCTTTCAAAGGAAATAAAATATCACTGCCATTATTTATTTGGCCCACAAATTAATATCATTGTTTTATATAAACAAGTTTGTCTACTGAATGTAATTACATGCATTTATGCAAACGACAATATCTTCGAAGGTCATCGATGCAGCTCGGCTCTGTAGCTTATTTGCTTCAGATTTTGATATGTCTGGTTTTTCAGCCTGTTTTAAAATCTTTTCACATACACTGCAAACAAAAGATAAAACTTAAGAAACAAAACACGACAAGTTTGGGTTTCAACAGACTGGGAATATTGGACAAAACAATACAACAATATAAACAATAACAACATTGACTTTCTTATAATATGTACTGACTACATCTTTCTGACACAAGAGCGTCCACTAAAAGAATTCTCACAATTTTTATACTGTACAACAGCAATGTATTTTTTATGTCTTGAATACTAACATTATTTTATAGGATTTATTGTGAAATAAAAGTGAGAGTACACCTCTTCAATTAGTATGCATTATCACTGCATGGTGATAAGAAGTAATAAGGTAGAATAGTGCATCTAGTGATTCTACACGATTGGTTGTAGGCTACATACTCTTTGAAATAAACAGTGGAGGCAATTGTAAATCCTACCGGTGAAGGTGCAGAAACATCAATGATTTCCTCAAGAGAAATGCCATCATAATCATACCACCTGCCATGATAATGGTATCTCCACTTGTAGTGAACTCCATTCTAGAATGCGATTCCTCCTAGAGTACATGTGGTGTTACAAACGATTAATGTTTTATACAACATTGACATTATACAATACAGCTTTTCGATAATTACGTCATAAGTATTTCCTTGGTCTGGGAGCCTCGCTTCATGAATCAAGAAGAAACACAATTCGCTCACGATTCATGAAAACGAGGCTCCCGGGCCAAGGAGAAATTTGTGACGTAATTATTGAAAGAGTGCATTGTAGAGTCTTGTGGTATGGTTTGTATGGTTGAACCTGCAACTTCTGTTGTGATGCTCACAGGCAGGGTAAACACCTTGTAAAGGTATGGTTGTAAGAATTATCACATATAATAAAGTAAATTGTTACATTCATAACCTTTGGGCTCCAATGGTCAGTAATCAAAGCACGGAATGAGTCAAACAGATAACAATAGTGTATAACCTGTCTAATAAACACGTTTAAATAAATGCGTCAGTGTGCAAATTAAATATATCACACCTTTAAAAGGTAAAATATTACCAGTAAAACAATTATCAGTTACACTTATATTCATACTTGCGCTTATCTATTATCCGTAAATCTTTGGCCATGCATTAGAGTGTTTTGCACACATTTTTTGTCTATTTTGCAAATGTACTTGACCAGACGACTATGTATTTGTATTAAATATGAAAGAGGATATCAAATATCAACATACCCCAGTTCGTCCAATTTAAGTAACTAAGTAGTGATCAGTAGTGTCTGCCATCCTACGTCTGAAATTTTTGTTCTGATTTTCAGAAGAAGCATGGTCCAGTCTGCAATTTGAATAGATCTAAGCAGATTTGACTGGCTTTGTTCCGGAAGAGTCGTGTCTAATGCATCGAGTCTTGAAAATATCACGTCGGTTGTCCAAATCACAACATCAGAATATCCCCGGCGACCGCCTTCTGATGCCAAATTGCCGATACTTTCGTTGATGTTCTCCTGATACACTCTAAAAACACTCAGGTTAAATTCAACCAGGAACTGGATCAATAAACTACCTAGCACATTCCTGGTTAAATTAACTGATTTCCTGGTTAAAAATTATTGATTCAACAAAAATCTGGCCATACTTCTTTGGACTTTTAACCAGGAAAATGGTTTAATTTTTTTAAACAGGATTGTGTAGGTGGATTTTTAACCCCATCCTGGTTGAATTAACCCAAATTTAACCAGAGTGTTTTTAGAGTGTAGGCACACGCAACAACATTCAGGGATTTCCGAATGAATTGCTCGCCATTCGTTTTAATGCGACGCGTCTTTTCGTGTGGTGATATTTCCTTCGATTTAATGAGAGCGTTAGTTGACGCGCGCAGTGATGTAATTTTGGCGGAAGATTGAACCGAGAGGGATTTTTCCATTTTAGTCAGGCATTCCCGACTCCAGAGCGCGCACGAAGAGAATAACAATCTCCTGTTCTTGTCTTTCCATTCGAACACGCTTTGGACTTGGCTCTAGATCGTTTGCTGCAGGGTCTGAGCCGTCTCCATCTATATTATGGCTGTTTGCTGTCGCGGTCTTTAAGATCAACGATATTTAATACCTTTTCTACTTCGCTGCCCCGGTTGCGCTTCCTTCGTGCTTTCTACCAGATTTCGGATAGCCAAAGAGCAAGTCATTGTACGCGTTAATTCTTGCTATAGTCAAACCAATGGGAATATACTCGAAAGTACATTTCGCACATTGATCTGCGGAGCACACAGCGGTTTTTGTTCAAAATTGGCGCGTGTTTGCATTTATAACTCCCAACTACGGCGTTGACAAATGTGTTAAGCTATTACGAATTATTAAATTATTATTAAATTGGATGTAGCTTATCAATATTTAAACCAAGAATAAAACGGACTATTAAATAACACTAGTATGATATAATTGGGTGGGTTAATTTAATTTGTATATGTCAACCCTCAAACGCCTGCCTTACAAATGCCATGGGAACGAACACATTTTGCCTTAATTTTTTCACACATCGTGCGGGTCCTCAAGATAGTGCTGAAACGCGCCATTTTGGCAGCAAAGCAAGGAAACCTTAAAATGTATATCCGCTTGTTATGTATAAAAGAGTTGTAAGTTGTAAATGTATATTCAGATCACTAGACCAGTAGAGAATAGAATTGGGATTACATTAATCGCTGGAATTAGTTAGCATTACCCAATTTAAGTAATACTACTGCAAATTTCGACACGTTATAATAAAGGAATACTGAATGGTTTTTCGCGCATGATTGCGTGATCCATGGACGAGGGATGTCGCGAGACTTTCGGAAAGCGTAAAATACTCGAGCCGCAGGCGAAAGTCGAGCAACATCCCAAGTGCATGGATCACGCTATCCTGCTTGGAAAACCATTTGGTAATTGTTTTATAAAATAACTACAGCGAAACAATCACATTTAAAGCCATCTCGCGAAAATCCCGCAAAGGCGTTTTGATTCCTCGTGCAGGATAGCCTGATCCTGCACGGCTATTGACCAATCAAATTGCGTGTTTCACTGTAGTTATTATATAATGCCGTTTCCTGACCAGCAGATTTCTGTCAAACCTTCCCCCCAATGTCCAGGAAATGGCATTTCGGAGACCCTAAATTCAAAACTTTTCCGACGGGGCATGCCCCCGGACCCCCTAAACAAACCTCGCACCTGCGGTGCTCCGCTAGTGTCTTCAGCCCTCGTTTATAAAGCGTTACATAGGCGCATATTAGTTGATAACTCATTGACCCCCCCCCCCCCCCCCCCCCCCCCCCCCCCCCCCCCCCCC